AGGGCAGGATGATGTCTTTCCCCACAGTGGGATTGAGTTCAAGGATGAGACATAGAATCCCAGAAATGTTTGGGTTGGGAGGAACCTTAAAACTCATCTCCTTCCACCTCCTGCCATGGGCAGGGACACCTTCCAGTATCCCAGATTGCTCCAAGCCCTGTCCACTCTGGCCTTGGACACTCCCAGGGATGGGGCTGTCACAGCTTCTCTGGACAACCTGTACCGGGGCCTCACCACCCTCAGAGAGAAAAATTTCTTCCCAAAATCCCATGTAACCCTATCCTCTGGTAGTGGAAAGTCATTTTCCCTTGTCCTGTCCCTCCAGGCCCTTGTCCAAAGTCCCTCTCCAGCTTTCTTGGAGCCCCTTTAGGCACTGGAAGGGCTCTAAGTTGTCCCTTGAGCCTTCTCTTCTCCAGGTGAACACCCCCAGCTCTCCCAGCCTGCCTCCAGAGCAGAGGAGTGCCAACCCTTGAAACATCTCCTCTGGACTTGCTCCAGCATACCTTGAGAATGTGACTGTCCTGGATTTTGGGAATGCAAAATAGGACATGCACATTGGCTGCAGATGTTAAAACATGTAGAAATGGAGCCCATTCCTTGACCGACTCTGATGTAGGGTGAGGTGACTGTCCAGAGTACACAGAAAAATCTAAGGAATCATCTAGACTGGAAAAGACCTCTAAGGTCACCGAGTCCAACCATAAAAAAAACCTGAAAGAAGCTACTGGAAATCAATGGGACAAGGAATTAAAAGGAATGTGGCAAAAACTGAAGGGTTCAATGAAAACCAGCAATTGACACCAACCACTGTGTTAGAGAGAGGAGTTTCCTTGAGCAGATTATTCCACTGGCATCCTGTGCCTGGATACAGGCAGGAAGGGCACTGGGCCCCAGTGCTCTGCCTGCAGGTGACCACCAACCCATGGATACCCTGCTTCCATTGCCTGTGACCTCTTTCCATGTGGAATTCTGGCTCTGTGATGCAGACCAAAAGCATCAATTCCCTTGGAGATTATTTTAGTCATTCAACTTCCATCTTTTGTCACTAGAGGGAAGGAACGGGTGCAGGAGAGTTAAATGCACAGAAGGAAATGAAGCAAAAAGCCAAGTGTGAAGTCTGGGAATCAGTCTTGAGTATTTGTGCAAACTGTTGAAGGAATACTTGCAAACAACAACTAAATTTAGCTTTTTGAAATGGTTCTAAACAAAAATATGCAGCTGAATCACAAGGATTTCAAGAAGATTTCTGTCAAGAAATAAATTGTCAAGAGAAGAAAATTTGTCTACTCTCCATGGAAAGTGTGCACTCGCTAGTGTGTGCCCAGGTGGCCAAGAAGGGCAATGACATCGTGGCCTGTAGCAGGACCAAGGCAGTGACTGCCCCCTGTACTGGGCACTGGTGAGGCCACACCTCAAGTCCTGTGTCCAGTTTTGGGCCCCTCACAAGAAAGATATTGAGGGGGCTGGAGCATGTCTAGGGAAGGGAAGAGAGCTGGGGAAGGGTCTGGAGCAGCTTGAGTGACTGAGGGGAGCTGGGGGTGC